CTATATTAAATGTTGTTATTATTCCTTTTTTGGCAGTATATTACACCATCCAATGTATTCGTGCACCTACCATTCTGCTATTTGTTCCCCTTGAGTGGGGTTATATAGTCATCATTGCTATCAGTGCCCCCCTCACCCCCCACTGACTTTCTGTACCTTCAGGGAATCATTACTCCCATTACTATTTCTGAAGTGTTTATCTAGCTTTGATTTCATGCATCAAGCAATCTTAATTATAAAAATGAACATATGCAGGTTTAGTAGGATCAATACATAAAGAGTGACAGTCTGAGAAACAGCAGCAGTTCGACCCTATCCTAACGAGTTGTGTGAGTCAGCATTGCCTTGACGGCAGTGGGTTTGGTTTTGGAGCTACTCAGCTCAGCATGTCAGTGTTTAATTCCACAGAGAAAAGAGGTGTGCTCAGAATGTGCAGCCCTGGAAACACAGAAAGAGGAAACTGCAGTGGATATTGGACACGGTGGGTATCATATGAACGCTCTGGGCATGGGAAGCATCGCAGTCAAGAGGGAGGTCTTTCTCTGCTGGATGTGGCCACTGTTGCTGTGTCTTTGCTGGCCGTGTGGCCTTGCTTTGCATGTTTGTCTGTACAGGGAAACCTGCACAGGTAGATTTAAAAAGACAGTAGCTGGACTGATGATTGCCTGGGGCACAGAAGGGAAGTGTGGGGGGAAATAGGGAGTGCACATCAGTGGAGAGAACAAGGGGATAAGGACCCAAAGTTGATTGTAACCATGACTGTGCACCCCTGCTTGATATGACTGAACTACTGAATTGCATGGTATATTAATGATAGCTCAATTTTAATAAAAGAAAAGAAAAAAATTAGATGTGAAGAAAGAAACGGCAGATCATCTGGGACTGTGGGAGTGGGAATGCTTTTGCCATGCAAACCGGTCTGGGGCTACAGTCTATTGATTCCATCCAACTCTCAAGTGCAAAGGGCAAACTCATTGTATGAATGAGTGTAAACAGACCTGCTACATGGGCAAATAATACAAACTGTCATTTTATAAGAGGAACTGCCCTTTCCATTCTAAGTGGCGATGAAAAATGATTACAGTAACCTCAAGATAAAGAATATAACGACTTTCTAACATTAGAGGCCCCGGGGTTGGGGGTGGGGGTGCATGGAGTTAAGGACTCAACTGCTAACTAAAAAGTTAGTTGTCCCATTGGGCCTCCACTCAAGTACTCCCTCAATGCAAGAACACTTTGTTCTATTAAACTGACATTCCATGATGCTCACCTTCCCGACACAATCGCTGAAGACAAAGCAGGTGCATAAGCAAATGTGTTGAAGAAAGCTGATGGTGCCCAGTTATTAACAGATATAG